CTGTTCTGCCCATTCATCTTATGGTAGAGGCCACAGGCATTGCACAGGTAGTGGCCTGTCCTATCCCTCCGCCACAGTGGGGTAGCTGTTGCTCCGCAGTTCACACATTCCCTGGCCTCTGGTAGGAGTGAATAGAGGGGAGGGGGAAAGAAGCCAGGCTCAGCTCAAGTTTGCTTAGCCACCCCCTTCCACCTCAACCTCCCCTGTCCCTTTTCTGAGACCCTCACCACAGGGAGGCAGGGGCAGCGTTCCACGAAGCTTGGGTGAAGAATAGGCTGCTGAATTGAGAGGGCTCCCAGTTGGAGAAAAGAAGGTAGTTGAAAAGTCAGGGCCCCCATATGCATTGCTGGTGACAGGGACGGGGAGAGATGAAGGCAGTGCAGGCCCCAGGGTCAGGAGATCTGGACTCAGCCGCTCTGTCTTCAGGGTCTCCAGAAAGCTGGTGCTACCTTTCCCATCTGGATCTTCTGGGGCCTGGGGAGGGGAGTCCTCGCGGGTGGGGCACACAGTTGAAGCAGGATAGAGCCCTGGCTTGCCATAGGCCCAGCCAGCATATGGTGAGCCCCCTGGGATCCCCTCCATACAGTTGAGCAGTGGATACACCTGAAAGACTGCCAGAGGCCAAGGAGGGGAAAGAAAGAAGAAAAACAAGCATCAGTCTGTGGTCAACTCACTTTCAAGGTGCAGTGTCATGCAACAGCCCCAACATGGTAGCCCAGTTTCCAACTATTCTACAGGTCATTACAAGAGCTGCTGGCCGTTGGGGGAATTCCTGTATCTTGGGCCCCACTGGTCAGTAACCTCCAAGCACATCATAATGGACTTCGAAGGTGACTGTTGGGATTTGGAATACCACAATTCTGGACCAGTAGGGCAACCACGGTATACCTCTCCTATTGCTTCTCGGTGTGGCAGGTTGAGAAGCTTCGGAATTCCCAAGTCTGGACTAGGGACATATGCTCATGAGAAGCTTATAGCCATCTCTATAGTGTCCTCCAAGTGGGAGTCTAGCTACAGGTGTCCATGGCAACTCTAGCAGGTATCCAGCTGAAGCCAGGGGTGTTACCTGGGGAGTGTCGGTAGGCTTCGGCATCCCTGTAGTAAGCCAGTGCAGCGGCTGCAGCAGTGGCTGTGCTTGGGCTGGAGGAGGAGGCTGCTGCATCCAAGCTGTCCGGCCCAGAGGTAAAGAAGGTGCCTGACTCTGGTGTTGAGGACACTAAAGCAGGATCTACAAACTGGGGCAGAGGCTCTGAAGTTCCCAGGGCTCCCAGGCCGGGGAACTCCATGGGGCCTCTGGGCTTGTCCCTGTGAGGACAGAAAAAAGTGTCTGACACAAGAATCCTCCTGCAACACCTTCTTTATTTCTCTCTGTGCTTCCTGTTACCTTCCCTCTCCTCCCTTCCTAGTCTAGTGTCTCACTACATCCTCACACTTCCTAATTCCCCACTTTACTTTTTTGTGCATGTGACCATTTGTCTTTCCTCTTTCCTCCCTCCACCTCTACTCTCCTCTGCTTCCTTTCTTCTCGTTCTTTTCCTTCCTCTTAACCACCTTCTTTCTCCTCTTCTTCCTTTCCATTTCTCCCATGCTCTTCTCCCTCTTCCTTTACCTACTTTCCCATCAGCTTTTCTCCTTGCCCTTTTCCTCTCCCTCCTTAACCCTTTCCCTGTCCCCTTCTTTCACCTTCTTTTCCATGTACCTCAGCATCCTCCTTCCCATCTCTCCATCTGCTCTACTTCTCCCACCCCACTTTATTCCCTTCTCTTCCCCTCCTGTTTCTTCACCCGTCTTTCCCCTGCGTTTTTGCTCATGCCTTCCTCCCTTTCCTCATCTTCTCTTCTCCACTTCCTCTTTGTATTTTTCCCTGCCCCCAATCTTCTCCCCTTCCAAAGCCTTCATGAGGGTCAGGTGGGGTACAAAATGAGCATCCCTTGAACCCTTTGACTACCCCCAGGACCTGGGGCTCACCGTCTTGTGCTCCCTCACTTCACCCCTATCTGTTGCATCTCGCCCTCTGGCTTTCTCAGAAACCCCATGGTTTCCGACTTGACTCCCCTCACCCCCACCTCCGTTGGGCCTGCAGACAGAGGGCCCCTCAGTTCCTCCCTGCTGGGGGGGTGTCAATAGCCCCCCTACTGCTTATCTCTTCTATCCCCGCCCAACTTTTGAAATCACCCCAAGGCCACTGGCTTCCTCTGAAGAGGATGACAGGTGGAAGTGTGGCCATGATTCTGCTTTCAGGCACCTGCCAGCTTATCTGTCCGCCTCAGTTTCCCTGTCTGCTATATCACAGGGAGTGATACTGACAGTCCCATGAAGTGGTTCTTTGCTTCTGAATTACCTCTGGGTCACCACCTCTCTATCTCTCTTTCTCCTTGGGTTTCCTTTTCTCCCCCGGCTTGGTTCCTCCCGAAGTCTGACTGTATTTCTCCTTTATGTTTCCATGCTTCTGTGCTGTATGTTGCCCTCTCTTTTCCTTACGGTTTTGAGAATGTCAAATGCATCCCTTTCCTTTTTCTGGCCCTGTCTTGCTGATGGTCTCCCTGTATTTCTCTGTCTTCTTTCCCTTTATCTCTCTGTTACTCGTGTTTTTCCCTATCTACTCATCTTTCTGAATAACTGCCTCTTTCCACCTTTGTGTGTTTCTGCCTGCTGTCTTTTCCCCGTTTTCTTCCTTCTTATTTCTGTGCCTATCTTACTATTCACATGTCTCTAACCTCATTCTGCTGCACATATCCTTGAAAGAGGAGTTGGGATACCTGGCCCTTGCCAAGACTGTGGTCTCCCTGTCTGCTCAGTGGAATGACATAGGTGGAGCAAGCCCCCCCGCCCATGACCTTGGTTGGTGTAGACAGCCTGAGGATTGGGCCCAGGGTTCCCATTGACTGTTCCTCAAAACAATGTGTGCTCTCCCATCCTAGTTGCCATCTAGTTCACCTTTGTCTTTGATTCTCTGCTATTCTCTGACTCTGCATGGTGGTACCTGTTACATGCATGGCCCTCTCCCTCCTCTACTCCTGAGTTTTATGTTCTGCTGCCTACTGTCTCTTTTGTTCTTATTTTTCTTTGTGCTCTCTCTGTTTCTTGTCTTCTTTTATGTCTCTTGATGCTTTTCTGTTTCTCTTACTCTCATCTCTATTTCTCCTTTCTTGTCTTACTGGGCAACTCTTGCTTTCTGTTACTATTCCCTTATCCTTTAAGTGTCATCTTGCCATTCACAATCTCCCTACACTTGTACTACCTCCTCCCCTGTGCCCCCCTCCTTGGTGGGTGCAGAGTTACCCACCCCTCCCATGGCAGGGGCCCAGTTCCCCCCCCCATCTAGTTATCACCCTCTGGACAGAGATAAAGTTTATCTCAAGGCTGAGGGATAGGAAAGTCCTTATCAGCTGCTCCACTAGAGTAAGTGCTACCCCAACTGCAACAGGCAGCAGCCGGCACCCTCAACTCTCCCAGCCCCTTACCCCAGGTAACACTCCTGTCCTGGCCCTCAAGGGAGGGTCTCGGGGCTGATGGAACAGAGAGGTAGGGTCTGGGGAGCGATATGCAACTTAGAAGTTTAGAGGTAGAGTTTGAGGGTCTCGTGGAGTTAAGGGCAGAGAAGCTTGGGGCACAGTCATGGAGTGTAGGGGAAGTAAATAGGGGGCTAGAGGAACTTGGAAGTTCAGAAACATTTGGGGTTCAGAAGAGGTTAGAAAAATAGAGATGAAGTTGAGGATTAAGAGGTGAAGTTAGAGATACAGAAGTTAGATATATGATTTGGTGATCAGAGAGCAAATCTAAGGTACACAGAAAAGTAGGGGAGCCTAGAGGTTTTTATTGGAGCAGAAAGTGGTATGGTATGGAGTCAAAGATGCGTTTGGGCAGTTTGAAACATGACCAATAGTTAGAGATGGGTTATGGAAATACAAGAAGAGTTTGAGAAACCATTATAGAACCTGGGTGGAAGAATATTTGGGGCTAGAGGGTTTCGGGGGTGAGGTGGTGGACGGAGATAGGGTTTTAGGGCTGAAGTTTGGGGAGGCAGCTATGAGGGTTCTACCAGAGCACATTTTGGGGATGTAGATTTGCTGTTTGGAGCATTGAAGACATTTTAGCAGGTACGTAGGGGGTTGGGAGAATGAGGGAGAAGAGAGAGAACAGCTATTGTATTTGAAAGGCAAAAGTTGAGGGTTAAAGGCAGGTTGGGAGAACCAGAGGTGGCTTGGGCAAAGATGAGGGTATTGTGGCACAGATAAGGGATGTAGGAGCAGAAATAGCCTTAAAAACTTCAAAAGTGAGATTTTGGGAAAAGCTCTGGAGGACAGAGGCAAGTTTAGGTAAATGGAAGTCAGATTCGGAGCAGAGATAGGATTTGGTGGACAAAGGCGTAATTGGAGATGGGGACACAGAATTGGCCTCCAGAGGAGTCTGGTCTGACTGGTAGGAGAAGCACAGTTGAGGGATCCGGGAACCAATTTCTTAGAGAGGATGGGAATCAGGGCAGGAGAAGCGGGCTTTGGAGGGAAAGATATGAGGTGGAGATGAGGGTGGGAGACAGTGGAGGAGGGTCTGAGGAGCTGTGAAGGACTTTCAGGGATGGCTGGCACTTGGGGGACTAGCGGTAGGTTGGGGGAGTAGCCATGAGGTTGGGGGGAGCAGGCCGGGGTACGCCTTGCTGGGGGGCTGTTTGGGGGGCTGAGACTGACCTGGGCTGTTCGCTGCAGAGGATTCAGCCGCCTTGGGGATGTGCTGAGCTCAGTGTGATCCCAAAGGCTGTCCTGGCTGGCCTTGGCCTTTGAGGCTCCCTTCCTCCCTCCCTCTCTCCCTCCCTCCCTCCCTCCCTCCCTTCTCCTTCCCTCCCTCCCCTCTCCCTCCTCCCCAGGGAGTGGCTAATGCCCTAGTGGGTGGGGCAGTTCAGAGGAGGGGGAGTGCCCCCTGTATGTGGGGCACTTCTTGGGCACTGGGGGCCCTCCTCCTCCCTACCTGGCCACCCATGGATCCTTAGAATTTGCTGGACTTGGGTTCCCGTGGACTTCAGTGTCCAGCAAGGCAATGAAAATAGCAGATATGGTTTCATGCTTGCATAGGCTTTTCAGTGAGTAAAGCTCATACTGTGTGTTGCGCAGCATTGGGCTGGGCCCTCACATATGAGTCCTCCTGGTTGAATGGAGAGGAAGGATACAACTGCACCCATTTTGCAGGTAAGCAGATGAGGCTCACACAGGTGTGGCAGGATTTCGACCAGAGGCTATGCGATACCTTACTTAATGAGCCAGACCTAGCCTAAGGACCAGGGCCAGCAGGAGGCAGGGGCATACTTGCTCAGTGCCCCACTGGGGCTTGCGCCAGCTCTGGCCTGCCCTGGGGCAGCAGATAAGTCTTATCAGATGGTGGCGACTGTGGCTGTTGGCGCCACAGTAACAGGCTGTCTTGGGGGTGGGGGGCAGGGTGCAAGGAGGGGGGCCACCCAGGGACAGTGACAGTGGCCTCAGCTTCTTGCCCGCCATGCTACATTGGAGGCGGGAAATTAAAGTCAATGGTGGCACTGGTTCCTCTATATCCTTGAAGAGTAGGTAAGGGTGGGGAAGAGCAGGGCATAGAGACTGAGAGGCAGAGAGACAGACAGGAATAGAGAGAAGTGGAGAGGGGTGGAAATTGGGAGACCACAGGGTGACAGAGGGGAAAATGGAGAGGCAGAAGGAGGCAGAAGGCATAGGGGAAAAAAATGCAAAGGCAAAAAGAGGAGGAGGGGCAAAAAATGCGAGAAGACACAGGTAGAGGGACTGAGAAGGGAAACAGAGGTGATGTTATAGAGGGACAGAGGCAGGGAGATTAGAGACAGTCTGAGGAAGCCTGTGAGACCCCAGCAGGCAGACTGGGGTAAGCCTGGGGAAATGCTAGATGGGGGGTGAGAGCGAAGGAGAGGGATGCCAACTGATGTGGATCTGCATGACTTGGGGTCCTGCCCTTAGCCCCCAGTGGGTCAATGCATTTCTACCCCATTCTTTCTTCCTGCCCTGCCTCCGCTAAGTGTCAACAACAAAAACTGGCATCTCATCTCCACCTGTGCCTCATCTGTTCTGAGCACTTTTGCCCTATAAAATCACCCCCCGCCCCACACACACAGGATAGCTATCCAACTTGGGTGTCATGCAGCAGGGAGTAAGACTCCCCAATTCACGGTCACAGCATCCTGAAGCATAGGAAGCTGCACTGAGAGGGCAAGGACAGAGCTTTGAGTCAGTGGGATCTGGCCGCTCACTCGCTAGCCCTGTCAGATAACATTCATCCATCTCATGTAATGTACCTTGCTGAGCTTCAGTGTTCTTGCCGGCAAAATGGGAGTTTTGGGGAGGAGAGAGAGTGAGGCCACAACTTCCCACTTACTGAGCTCTTGCTCTGTGCCACGCCTCATGCTGAGCATTCAGCAGCAAGAAGCTGAACGAACTAAGGAAGGCAAAAACATTGTGACTTAAGTGGCCATGGTTTCAGGCAAGGATGTGGAGCCAGCCTGCCCTAGTTCATAGACCACCCTAGGCCCAGCTGGTTGGGGAAACTTAGAGTGAGTTCTTCTCCCCTTTGGGCCTCAGTTTCTCATCCATAAAATGGGGTCATAATGGTGACTATTCTGGGAGGCTGATTGGGCAGGCCGAATGAATTTTAGTCCCATAGTAGGGGATTGTAACTCATTTGTATCTGAAATTTCAATAAATGTTAAGTATTGTTAATTGTTTACTACCTACTGTGTATAATAGGTAGCATTTGGTCCTTTCTTTTTTTTTTTAAAGATTTATTTTTATTATTTTTTCATTGGAAAGGCGGATATACAGAGAGGAGAGACAGAGAGGAAGATCTTCCGTCCGATGATTCACTCCCCAAGTGAGCGCAACGGGCCGATACTATGCCGATCCGAAGCCAGGAGCCTCCTCCGGGTCTCCCACGCGGGTGCAGGTTCCCAAAGCCTTGGGCCGTCCTCGACTGCTTTCCCGGGCCACAGGCAGGGAGCTGGAAGGGAAGCGGGGCTGCCGGGATTAGAACCGGCGCCCATATGGGATCCCGGGCGTGCAAGGCGAGGACCTTAACCGCTTGCGCCACCGCGCCGGGCCCCATTTGGTCCTTTCTAACTTACGCCACTACTAGTTGCAGCACTAATGCTTATATGATTAACCTCAATGGCAACACTAGCATTAATGTTAATATTGATACTAATTTTAATATTATTTAGTACTAATCACAGTCTAACACTAATATAATTTAATGCTAATTCTAAAACTGTTTAATTTTTTCCCAAAAGGTTTATGTATTTATTTATTTGAAAGGCAGATTTGGGGGGCCCAGAGTGGTAGCCTAGGGGCTAAAGTCCTCACCTTGCACGTGCCAGGATCCCATAAGGATGCTGGTTCTAATTCAAGCAGCCCTGCTTCCCATCTATCTCCCTGCTTGTGGCCTGAGAAAGCTGTCAAGAACAGCCCAAAGCCTTGGGACCCTGCACCTGCATGGGAGACCTGGAAGAAGTTCCTGGCTCCTGGCTTCAGATTGGCTCAGCTCCGGGTATTGTGTCTACTTAGGGAGTGAAACAAAGGATGGAAGATCTTTCTCTCTGTCTCTCCTTCTCTCTGGATATCTGACTTTCCAATCAAAATAAAACAAATCCTTTTTTTTTTTTAAAGGCAGATTTTATATAGAGAGAAGGAGAGGTAGAGAGAGATCTTTCATTTGTTGGTTCACTTCCCAAATGTTTGAAATGGCCAGAGCTCAGCTGATCTGAAGCTGGAAGCCAAGGGATTCTTCTAGGTCTCCCACATTGGTACAGCGTCCCAATGGCTTGAGCCATCCTCCACTGCTTTGCCAGGCCCCAGGCAGCGTGCTGGATCCAAAGTGGAGCAGCCGGAACATGAACTGGTACTGATATGGAATGCTAATGCCAAAGTGAAGTTTTTAGCCTTTTGAACCACTCATTATACCAGCCCCAGTTTACTGTAATTCTAACAGCAATAATACTAATGTTTTTTAATAACTTATTTTATTTGAAAGGCAGAGTTGGGGTTGGGGTGGGAGACAATGGGACATCTTTTAACTAGTGGCTCACTCCCCAAATGACTGCAACAGCTGAGGCTGGACCAAGTTGAAGACAGGAGCATGGAACTCCATCTGGATCTCTTCCGTGGGTGCCAGGGGCTATGAATTTGGGTTATTTTCTACTATTTTCCCAGGTGCATTAGCAGGGAGCTGGATTATAAGTGGGGCAGCCAGGACTTAAATCAGCAGCTATATGGGATGCCATCGATACAGGTTAATCCACTATACCACAGTGCTGGTCTCCATCAATACAAGATTTGATACTAAAACTCACACTAGTATTAATAGAGTAATAGCAGATGCAGGGTTTGCCAATTGACCCCAGGCACTGAGCTAAGTTGTCTCCATTCATAATTGTATCCCATTCTTACCAGGTCCTTGTGGCAGAACTGTATATAACTGCCCCCATCTTCCAGACCAAGAGTAGATGTCAAAATAAATAAAGTGAAGATATTGGCCCAATTCCCTAGGTTGTTGTTTCAGTTCTCACCCTGGTTTGCTGTATGGTTCCCAGGTAAAACCACCTTCTGAGCTTCAGTTGCTTCATCTGAAAAATGGGTGAAGTCATAGCTCTGCCCTCTGCCCCCTGAATGTAACCATTTAGCACAGCGCCTGCCTGGCACACCATAAATGGTGTGTTCTGTAAATGGTAACCCTCATCATGGTATTATCAGAAATAGCAGTTGCAATGTTGGGGGCAAGGTAGGAAAAATCTGTCCTCAAAGGGAAGGCTTGGCTTGAGGCATGTCTAAGATGAATGTTTGGCCACTGGACTCACACCCATTTCTTCATTTCTGATGGGGAACAAGGGACTTCAGGAAGGGAGTAAAGGGTAGAGAGTGGGGTGCCTTAGGGCCCTGCCTCCATCAAGAGCTGGAAACTCGGAAGCTCTGGGCCCAGGCTTCAACCTGTTCCCTCCCCCATGCCCGCAGAGGGGGTGCCGGCCCAGGAGTCTGTGGCAACATTCAGCCAGCAGGGAGGCAACTGGGAGTGGGCAGATAAGAGAATCAGCGGGGGCCAGGCCAGGCCTGGGGTAGACAGGGGCGGGAGCAGGGTGGGGTGTCCAGACCGCCTCTCCTCTCTGTTCGCCCTCAATTTGAGCTTCAGCTCCAATGTTGGTTCTTCCCATGCGCTCTCCCTCTGTACTAAACCTGCTGGATCCCACCCATAGTGTTAGGACCGTCTCTGCCTCTTAGGGACTGTGGAGGTCACGGGGTGGGACAGTTCCTCACTCATCTTAGTGAGAGAAGCATCAACCAAAGCCTGGCTAGAGTCAAATGTTTGCTCTCAGAACCCAACTCTTGGTGGTTTTCTTTTTTCTTGCAGAAAACACAAAGGATGCTATAATAGTTTGTGTTTATTTTTGTGGAATGTTAGTTTTTGCCTTATTTACTTTGCACCAATTCCATTTTCCTTCCTTCCTTCTCATATCTGCTCTTTGTTCATCTACCTCATGAATATTTTTACTCATTTAGTTGATACATATATGCCCTTAAACACTAGATGATCCTGGAGGGGTTTTTTTTAATTTGTTTTTGAACTTTATAGAAATGGAGTCATACAATATCTGCTGCCTTGGCTTCTCATACTGTCTGTGACATTCTAGGTTGTGTCTATTCCTAGTTCATATTTGCATTTCTTTTTCTTGAGATATAATTCACATAACACAAAATTCATGCCTTTAAAAGGTAAAGTCCAGGATTTTGCACCTATCCTGTGTTTGCTTCTGGAACAGTTTGATTATCAACCCCCTAAAGAAACCCTGTATTCGGGCCTGGTACAATGGCTCAATGGCTAAATCCTCCTCCTTCAAATGATAATGGTGGGATCCCATATAGGTGTCAGTTTGTGTCCTGGATGCCCCTCTTCCCATCCAGCTCCCTGCTTGTGGCCTGGGAAGGCAGTCGAAGACGGCCCAAAGCCTTGGGACCCTGCACCTGTGTGGGAGACCTGGAAGAAGCTCCTGGCTCCTGGCTTTGGATCAGCTCACCTCTGGCCTTTGCTGCCATTTGAGGAGTGAACCAGCAGTTGGAAGATCTTTTTCCTCTCTGTAAATCTGCTTTCCCGATTAAAAAAAAATTTAATATAAATAAATAATGTTTTAAAGTAATATAATATGTAA